CAATTTTATTTTTTAACATATAGCCTAAACAGTGGGTGAAAAATTTAACAGCTCATTTCTAAATAACACTTCCTTAATATGAACTAGATATAAAAACTAAACATAAAAAAATGACAGAAGAGAGGATGTGCACACCTGTGCATGACAGAGAGAACTGATTCCAAGTCCTGAGCAAGTAACAGCATTTTCATATTCAGAAATTTATTCTACATTCTAGGTTGATGTTCACTCCAATAGCTGAAGGCTTTTCAAAATGACTCTGCTATGAAAGAATTTGTGACTAAACTGGGATGAATGGGTCAGGGACCTTGTATGAAAGTTCTTCCACCTCAAAGTCTTGCATGTGAGCTCATGGAAGACACAGAGCGGGAGCAGTTGAGGCTCTCTTGTTAGGATGCATCATATGTGTATGTGTGCATCATATAAACACAAACACGGGAAGTCACATCAGAACTGTTTTCCTAGATACCTGAAATGTAGTTATGTATTTTGCTTCCTCAGACACAAGTAGATACATAAGCTGAGAAAAAACCAACTTACTAAGCGGACCTCTGAGTACACTCAGAAAAAGTGGCACATGCTTCATGAGTTCATATTACATGAACAGAATTTTCAGCAACACCAACTCAGTCTGTCCTTCCAACAATCACACTACAAGTTCCTAAATGCAAAGGTGGGAGAATCTGGAGAAAACTGTGTATCTTTACTAGAGGGCTTGTCTCACTCTCATTCCAAGGGCTGGCTCTGGACAGTGGTCAGTCTTTTTCCAAAAATCCTCAGAACATTTACATCCAAAGGCACAACTATTGCAAGTGAACATTCTCACGAGGATTCGGGTGTGGAATCAAAGGTGTGTGCTGTGTTCCCCACCTCTGCAGCTTTTAATACCCAAGTGGACCAGTCTTGTCATGAGGGGGCCTCAGCACAGGCTCCATCCATAATTCAGCTTCACAAGAAGAGACTTGTTTTTTAAAGCCAAGATCTCATAATGCCAGTAGGTCTTGGAAAATTCCAGCAGGTAACTAACATTAAAAAAAAAAAAAGAGTCTGCTATAAATGTTTTAGCTACTCAGGACTTGAATTCCGGATAAATAATTCAATTCTTTTTAAGAAATAAAGGAGAAGCAACAGGAAAGGTTACCATAACTATCATGAAATGCATTTTCTAAAAATTATTCTATTACATTTTTAAAGGGTGTAATTATAAGTTTTTTATGAGCAATTTACCAGAAAATTAAAGCCCCTTAGTTTAAAAAATAATCATTTCATCCTTCTGGCAAAGGATTTTCTCCCAGTAAGTAGAGCTTTCAAACTATAGAGCATCATTGGTTCACTGATCTGATAATCCTTCTCTGGAAAATGTTCTGAATTGCTGCTTCATGAGAGAACCTACTAGAAGACTTGAAGGAGAGAAGGTTGGGGACACACTTTCAAAGTCAAGGAGTTATGTGGTTCTAGAAGTCCTCAGGGCTACAAATAAACTGCAGGCCCTGCTAACCAATTTTAAGTCAATCTAAACTGAGCTTCCAGGGAGTTCGATCTCAATCCAACTGAGTTTTTCAGTGCTAATCCCATCTTTTGGTTTCGATTTTTCCCTTAGGTTGGCTAGCCCTAAAAGCCTTCAGCCTTCAGCACTGGTGCTACAAACCCACTGCGTGGTACACAGCCCTGTGAGAATAACTTTAGTGAAGTAAAATATGTAAGCTTCCGGCATGCTTATAATAACGAGATTCTGGAAAAAGGGTTTTTAACAACAGTATGTCACAACGCTCATGGCTCCCTGAAGTCCCCGAAAGCCTTGTTAAATTAAAGATTCGCTGTGGATTTTTTTCCGCTTCATTCTTGCTTCCCATGTTGCCTCTTGCCTGTCTTTTTTTTTTTTCTCCTTTCATTGTGCTGTAAAGATGGGACTGAATGACACCAGCCATCATTAATGCCACCTAGAAAATGGAAGTTTCATTAAAACTGCAACTACTCAGATTATAAAGTCACACATTTGATTTTGGAAGCTCTGGCACTAACAGTACCCAGTCATTCACACCTGGATTCCTCAGAGGTAGGAATTCAGTAATAGCCTCAAGTCTACCTAGATAATGTCTCATGAGGTCACCTCAATGTCACAAGAATCCCTACCATGATCTTTCTATGGATTTCAAACCTTCACTGGCTGGAAGCTAACCTTGCTATTTGTTTGGAACACCTCCCAAATTTAAAAGAAAAAAAAACTTTGCATTTTGCCCAATACCAAGAACGCCACTCACTCCATCTTTCTTGAGGTGGAAAATGCTAATTATAAGAGGACAATGTTTGCTTTCCTTTGGAGTCCTGTGCCTTTATGTTTTAAGTATTTAAGAGGCGTAATCACCTAGTGTGTAGGTTAATTTCCTTCCGATATTGTAATTTATGCAACATTAATACTGGATGCCAGCTCCAATTTTCTTAGTGCTTACACTCTGGGAGCCGACTTGCATATTCTGCCAACTCCATTACATCATCTGAAAACCCAAACATTTCCCATTTTCAAATCACTCTCAACTACCAGGCACACACACACACTAAGAAACCCATGAGGAGCAGAGCCTACATCTGAGGTTGAAGTCTGAAATGCACATAATTTCTGGAAGCTATTACTACTGCCCTGTTAGCTAAAGGACGGGTCCATCTCTGACCTTCCTTTTTCCATTCAGACTGTTACATAACCTAGTGCCTGCGTGCGGGATGTGAGTTGAGTGTTTGGGCCTTACTCCCCCCTCCCATTAAATCTCCTAAGAGGAATGGACAAGGGTTTGTTTAAAGAAAGAGTTGGGGGGTGGGTAGCCTTCCAGGGGTCAAGGGGATACGGGTCAGCAGGTCAGCTGTGCAAGGTACTCTTCCTCCTACTTGTTCCTTGACCATTTTTGCAGAGCCTAGGGGGCTGGTGGTACTGAATGCCCCAGTGTTATGTAATTTGCAAGAACAGCAAGTTACAGATTTGCTAGTCGATTCTGCAGCCTGCCACCCTGATCTCTTGCAAGAACACCTTCTGGCAAGAATGACACCTGAAGATGCTAATAACAAACGGGAGGGGGTAGGGATTAGGGAAGGGGTAACAGCTCAAACCAGAAATTAGTTGTGGCTTCCTATATATACTATGATCCCTTCTTTAAAAAAAAAAAAAGCCTCAAACACAAGAAGGGGATTTTCTCCAGTGTTGCTGGTTAACCCTGTTACATAACCCGCTCGCATTCCAAATCTACCGTCTCAGGATCTAAATATACTCTTTGCAGCCAAAAGCTCTCCGCGCACAAACTCACCCAGCTAAAGACAAGGTCCGGCCCCCAGCCCTCACCCCTTTCCCTTCTAGCCCGACCCTCCTTGCCCCTTTCCCGCTCAAACCGTGGTTTGGCGTGGTCACTCTTTGCAAAACGCCTTTAATTAAATGTTTTTCGCGTGTGTCATCCTGATGGCTTTTACTGTACTCGAATTCCGTGAATGGGAAAGCGCCTGGACAGGGGGTGTGGCTAAGGTGGGGCGGGAGGGGGAATACTGTACAACAGCCAGCACTCGATCAGCCATGTTCCTACCTCCAACTATAACATCCAAAGGGAAGGAGCGCCTCCCGGGGCCCTCCTTCGCCTTTCCCCACCCTCCCCAGTCGCTGCCAGAAGTCAAGTGACAGGAGGAGGGGATGCACTGGGCCGGTGCCCGGGCCGGGGCTGGAGAGATCCTCTGTGTCCCCAGCCCCGGGTGGCTTGAGCGAGTCCGCTTCCTCCGGAGTGACAGGCATGATTTATACATTATTTACAACAGTAATTAAAGCTGTAGCTTCTTCCTGCTCTTTGCAAACTCTGGACACAGTCAAGTAAATAACCTCCTACCCCCGAGAGGGGTAAAAAAACCACATCAGACTCCGACACCTTTAAGAAAGAGGGAGAATAAGCGTTCGATACCCTACTTCAACTAGCAAAAGCCAGGAGGGCGACGGAGCCACCCTCCTGTACCCCCACACTCCAAACACCAAAATGAAGTGTGCACATCGCCCGGGGAGTGGAAGAAAAGCTCGCACTATCCAACCAGCAATCAACTTGCACTGACCATCCCCAGGAACCTGAGAAGGAAGGAAGGATTCCCAGGGCAGAAATAAGTTTGGGAGCCTTTCGGGTTTTTTGGTTTTTTTCCTGCTTGTTTGCTTTTGTGGCCGCTCCCTCGGAACGCCCCACAGGATCGCCGCCCTCCACGCGCTGGCGCGCGCACACACCCCCCACCAGCCCCGGGGCTGGGCTCCGAACCCGGGTCTGCAAACTTGCGCATCTCCCCTCCCAGAGCGCCAGTCAGACAACTTGGCGAGCACCTCGCGCGCCCGCACCCCACTTCCCCGGGCCTATCCTGCAAATCCCAACCCCACCGCCGTGCTCTAGAGACGGTGCCCACGTCACCCCCAGACCTCGGAGCACCCTCTTTTCACCCCCGGGGCTCCCCAGGTCGTTCACTCCTCCCGCCCCTCTCCAAGCTCTGCGGGGGCTCAAAAACACTCCCCAGACTCTGTCAGCCCGGCCGAAACTGTCAAGAGGAGAAAAGGTAAAGGAGGAGGAGGGTAGCCATAAACAGATTTTTTTTTTCCTTCTTAAAAGGACACTGCCGCTTTAAAAGTTTCTTTTCCGGGCCCCCACTGCCCGGTCGTCCGTATTTTGGGGGAGCGTTTTTCATTTCGACAAGGCGGCTTTCCTCCTGTCTTTGCAGGAAAATCCGAGCCAGGGTTGAGTCCGCCGGCTGTCAACCCTCCCGCCGCCTCCCCCGCCCCCTCTCCTCCCGCAAGCCCAGAACGGGCTGCAAAAGTTTGCAACATTTCTGGGGGGCGGAGGGGGGAGGGGAGGGGGGTGCTCCAAGCTCGGGGCGCCGCTGGCAGGCTCGCGCGCGGCCGCCGGACCCCCGCGCCCTGGGCGCCCGCTCCGGGCCGACCCCCGCTCCGCGCGCGGCTCCCGCCGCCCCCTCCCCAGCCCCGCTCTCTCGCAGCCTCCTACCTCTGCTGGTGCTTGAATAGCTCTGTCTGCGCACCGGGCCGGGAGGCTCGCTCTTGCGGGCGGATTCCGGGTTCAGCGGGGTCTCCCTGGAGCCGGCGGCCGCGTCCGCGCCGCTGCTGCCCGGCTCGCTGGCGGCGGGGTCGGGGGCTGCCGGAGCTGACTCCATGTTTTTTCCCAATGTAGAGATCGCTGGAGATGGCGAGCTCCGAGACTCCCTCTATCTTCTGTTTTCAGAGCAACTCTATGGTACCAAAAAAAAAAAAAAAAAAAAAAGAGGGAGAAGGAGAGCGGCGAGAGCAGAAGCGAGAGAGAGCAGGCGGAGGGCGGGCGAGCGAGAGCGCGAGGGAGCGCGCGAGTGTCTGGGTGGACGCGTGTGTGTGCCCGAGAGGGGATGCGAGGCGGCTCTGGCCACAGGCAGCGCTAGCGAGAGCTTCTCCAGCCGACCCCCACACCCACACTCCCCACCCTCCAGACCCCAGACCGGGAGCCTCAGACTGGCTGCCAAATTTGGGAGGTGGGGAAAAAGAGGGGAGGAGGAGGGGAATGCCTCCTGCGCCCCAGTCTTCCCCTCTCCCCCAGCCCAGGGACAGGATGAAAATCGGCGAGATGACTCGGTGTCTACTTTTGACACTCTCTTGGGAACTGGACTCATCCCCATCTGCAGCCGCCTGGGAGGAGACAAATCCGGTTATCCACATTGGGGATTTGCAGGTAGCTTCCTGCGGGCCCTACCCAGAGCTGAGGGGAGACTAAAAAGGAATTAGGACCGGGCTAACACCTTCAGGAAAGAAGAGGATGGGAGGACAGGCGTGGCACTTTTTACTTTGGGATGGGACGACCAGTGGGTTTCCAGTCTTGGTTGGTTAGATATGTCTGTATGTCTGAAAACAAATTTGGTACGTCTGGAATTGCCATGGGCAGCCAATTTCCAGGGTGGTTCAAAAAGGTTGCCTCCAGCTCTTTTCTTTTTCCTCCGCCAAGGATCCAGAAACCATTTGGTAGGGCACTTTCTTTCTACTGAAGAAAACTTTGACCTGTTTGGTTGGATGACTGTCTACGCTGGCTGGATGAAATATGCCACACAGCATCTAACTCATGAGTGGCTGCTAATTGTCAATTCCCATTGGTATTTTGCTATTAAGTGTACAATCTCATCCGTAAGAGAGAGCACTACTGGAGAGGTATTAACAATGTCTGGATAATAAAATCCAGATAATTAAGTCACCCTGAATAAGTCACATAATTGAAGGCTTCTACACCCTCCTCCCATTGAAACACACCCATCTAGTAGTAGATCCTTAAAGACATCCAAGGAAAGCTGAGAATTACATCACAGTAACTCCCCAAAGGCCAGCATGAAGTACCAATACAAATTGGAGGCATGGAAAATATTCAAATGATAATAGCCTGACTTCTTAATAGTCAATTCATCATTTCTTTTTGCTTACAAAGACAAGTTGGACCATTTTGACAATAAAAATATTATATGCCAGAAGGTGGCATAAATATGTATTTAAGGGTGGGGAGAATTGGAGAACACTGTACTTTGCTAACTTCCTAGTTTGGAAAAAAAATGCTCTTTAAAAATATAAGGGAGAAATAACCCCCATATGCCAAATTTCACACATGTTGGTGTTACTGTTTCTGATCTTGATTTGATTCAAATACACAATGCTCTTTGCCATGGTATATTAATCAGCAAACCTGTGGTCCATTCTTTGGGGGTGATGTAAGTGAGATGTGATGTTTTGATACCTATTAATCCAGGCTGCGCAAGGATCCCTGGATTTATTCTGTCTGTTGGCGCCTATGTACAAAGCCACAATTGCTGATTGTCTCCTCTATCGCAGATCTACTGTGTGGGTTTCCCCATACATCAAAGCACAGATTTCCAGAGCAGCCTTCCTTCCTGTCATTTGCCATTGGTGCGCTTATTAATAACAGTCTTGATGCAATTGACCTAGCTGGTCACACTTGACTTTTCTAAGTAAACAAATATTTCCAAGTGCACAATTTGATAAACAACTTCCTCTGGGAAGTTGTTCTCAGATTACGTTACTGACCTATATTTATTTTAGAATGTTTTACAAATACTTTTATATTAAATTTCATCATAATTCTATTGGGGATGCAAATAACTCAAAAAAGTATCCCTGGCTTCCTGTTAGCTGTCAGTAGCAACTTGTTAACATTTTTTGGTTAAGTCTGCTCTCTTGGGTATTCAGTTGGCTCTTTACTATTCTCCTTTAACCCTGGATAAATCTTCCAAAAATAAAAATGGCTCTGCTGACCTTAATCAATTAACATAAACTCCATGTTCCTTTCAGGGAGAGATCCCAGCTCCAAAAAAAACAAAACAAAATAAAACCCTCCCCCAGATTTCTTCTAAAACAATTACTGCTTCTGCAATCTAAAACAATTGGGAACGCAAATGCTTTCCCCAAGGGAAAAATAAAAGTGAGTTAGCTGCATGTTTTGACTGTCAATCATTGTTACTAAAGTGTAAATTACCTGGTTTGGGGAAGTATGTGAAATCTGAAAGCACAATGATTAGGTTAATATTTCTTTCTTTCCCTTATACCCTTTCCTGATTACTAATTAAGGCTTTCCAATTTTTCAAATATTTGGAGAGATGGGAGCCTTCTTTCCACTCTGCTCATTGACAAAGGGCAACAGTGTTTGGCTAAAAATGCTTATTCTACTTTGCACTACTGAGTTCTGTAACAGGAAAGGCTTTGTAAAGCTATGTTTTGCAAGAGATAAACCTAAACCCAGTTTTCTGCCACCCCTTGTTCTCCCCCATCTCCACAATGACCCTCTTTACCTCCTTCGCTCTGGTCCTCAAGTTACTGGGAACCTCAGTGTTAGTATTGACTCCTCCCTGGAGCTCCTGTCTCCAGTTCTCCCCAAATTCTGTCAATTCTGTGACATCTGTCCTTCCTTTCTGCATTCATCCAGTTCCAGTCATTATTGCTCCCCAAAACCTTTGCAGTAACCTTCCAAATAACTGGCCTTCAGTCTTATAACCACTCTAATCCATTCCGGATAGCACTGCCAAGTTAATTACCCTGAACTACAGCTCTCATTTCCCACCATGTCACTCCCCTGCTTACAAGACTTAAATGGCTCCCCATTGCCTATCCAATTAACTACTAACTAGTCAACACGGTATTCAAGACTCTACCTCATTTATTGCTACACTCCTACACCAAGGATGGCAAGTGGATCTCATCTTGGGGAGAAACTCCTGAGGTTGACTGGAAAGGTGTGGGTTGCAACTGATTAATGCTGTCTCCCATGGGAAGAGGAATAGGAAATGTGATCCTCATTGGAGTTGGAGTTTGCCAAACTGTCTTACATCCTTACATAATCCCCACAATCCCTCAGGCCAGGCTATACAGTGCTGCCTATTCCTTCTCCTATGTGTAGACCATGTTACATGTCAAGCTTTCTTCTCCCTAAATGCCCTCCCTGCTACATTTGGTTACTGAAATCACCCTTTCTTTCAAGCTCCATTAATGACAATTCCTTTGTGGAGCTTTCTTCATTACCCCAATCCAAGTATTTATACCTAAATGTTTCACACCATTCTTAAAACACCTGATATTTCTGTCCACCTTGTGCTGTGGTTCTTTGAACATTATCTTCCCTGGTGGAAGATATATTTCTTGAAAATGGGGAGTAGTAGACCCTTTTAGAGTTAGGGGGTTTGGGGAATGGAATTGATGAGCTAATCATAAAATCTCATGTCCACACAGTGGATGCCATTACACAACGAGAATGAAAACCTAAGCATTTCAACTTTCAATCACTTGATATAAACCTTTCCTTTTCAGATAAAAGCTTAGTTGACATGTATGGGCTGTTAAAATTTATATATGCAAAAAAGTTGACAGTTATTTTCTTGCATTTCTTGGAGAGAGAAGAAAGATGATGGAAATATATAGTAGAATTTCCCGGGAAAATGGAACTTTCTACACCATGCTTAAGAACAAAAAAAGACAGAAAATTATAACTGAGTTCCCAGACAAGAAGTCTCCTTTCTTTCCAAAAAGCGTCAAGAAGCTGAATCTGGACCACCAGCTGAAAATAGAAGAAACTTGCTAGAGGACATGAAAGGGGATGCATCCTGCTGCTCAGTTTGTAGTCAGGGTGGTCCCCACCGAGAAGAGTCCAGAGTCAGAAGAGCCCTTGGTCAAAATCAGAGAAAGAATGGTGTGAACCAGAAGTACTCCTGTGTGGTAACAGGAGAGCCAGGCATGCTAGACACTAAGAGATGAACAGGAAGATGGAAGTTTGTAGTGTCTACCTGGGATGCTTCACTTTACCCCATCCCACTGGGGAGATGAGGAAACTAAAATACACAGAAGTGACTTGCTCATGGCCACCAGGGCTTTAATCAATTTGATATTGATTGCATGTTGAAATGACAATTGTTTGGATATACTGGGTTAACTAAAAATATATTATTCAAATTAACTTAATCTCTTAACTGAAAAGTCTAGCTACTACGAAATTTGAAATTATCATGTAATTTGCATTCTAGATCTAATGGACAGTGCTAGTATGGAATCTCTCTGGCACATAAGAGCAATTGTTAGGGTTCAGATGGACATCCCTGGGTTAAGAATTACTGTCCATCTTATCATTTCATAAAAATCTTAATTTCGCTTCTTCTATTTGCAGATCATTGAGCTAGGTGCTGAGGAAAATAGAGACAAAGCTATTGAGTCTTACAGGGAAAATAAGATTTGCACACCAAAACTAAATGACATTTCCCCGCCTCTCAAAGTTTTCATGGATGAGACTTAAACTGCCCATAAAGCAATTAATAATCTTCCTCAGAGCACATAGCTATCCTGGGAAGCTAATGTGCCCATTGGTACCTTCTGGAACTACAGCTATGGACTTCCAGAAGAAAAAGGCATTTGACAAAGTATCGCCTTTGCTCCTTTATCAAAGGTCAGTTGACAATATTTCTGTGGCTCTATTTCCAGGCTACCTATTCTGTTTCACTGATCGATTTGTCTATTCTTTCACAAATATCATACTGTAGTTTGGTAATGGATTTTTAGTTTTGTTTAATTGTAATAAATTCATATTAAATAGCCACATAGGGCTAATGGTGACTGTATTTGACAATGGACACTGGTCAGTGCTAGTCTTACTTATTTCAACTGCTGAGCCCCCTTCCTATAGATATTCATTCATG